AAAAATCATCAACTTTATTTTTTTATATGGACCGTAAAAAAAGTACATACTGTATTGCATGTTTTATTACGAATACAACGATATACGGCACTAAAAAAAACAAATGTTGGAAACTATTAATGGTTTCAACATTATGGTGTACCCGCACACAAAGCCCTAATCGCACAAGAATCGGACAAATTTTCTGGAAAGTGGAAACGTTATAGTGAAAATCTCAACGCAACGTTGTCTTGCCTTTATCTTATTGTATCTGTTCAATGAACATGAATGAAATAGGCAAATTTCGGTTTTTCTGTCATATCTTCCGAAGAAATAGGAATTTTCTGGTTTTCTAAAGCATAAGTTAATAACTTTTAAATTGCACATCTTTTCTCTGATTGAATTTATCGTTATTTTCGCCCGGAATCGAAAAAGCACAAATGGAATATAAGTTTGTGCCCACTCGCTTTTTGAGACCGATCGTATTCGTAGGCAAAAATGTGATACGATACGCACACATTCGTTTAAAAATCTAACAAAAACTAGCAGTATGCAGGTGGCATACGTAATTTAATATAAAAACTATGACACCGCGAACCCGCCCTAAAGGTCTGAGGTCGCAGTAAAAACGCGGAATGCAAGGGGTTCATCGGGGTGTGTCTGGCAGACTCGAACCTGACCCTGACTGTGAGACAAGTGCTTGAAAGGGTAAAATCTGTGTCGGCGCTCTTAAAAAAAACTAAGAGGGTGGCAGGAGATTCGCCGGTTTATACCCTTTCCCAGGCTCATTTAACGAACAGTTTCAAGGCCACGCAACAAGCAACCCTTTCTTTGCCTGCATCTCCGATCAGATAAAAAACTAAGTTTATCGCGAGTCATTTGTGAACCCTTAAAATTCATATCAACCCCGAACCACATAAATATGGGCTTGAATGCGCACAGGTGTAGAGTTTGTATTAAGTCTGTGGAACAAGAACATTTTTTTTATAAAAGACGCGAATAAAGCGGAAAGATTTAACTAAGGCGAGCTGCATAATAGTAGGTAGACGGCGGGGGTGGACCGAAGAGCGCATATAAAATTCTTTCTCACCCATTGAAAACTATTTAAGGGATGCTTATCTTAAGTGCAAAAGTCAACTCGGCAGCCGAATCTAACGGTACCGGCGAGAATCTGCGGTCCAGCCGCATAATCGGTCCTTTGTTGAGCAGGTTGGCTGGCAGATTTTGGACCCCCGTGGGAATATTATAAACGTCGTATTTGTGAAACTCATTAATCACGCCCCAGAACGAGATATTTATGTGTAAATGTCAAAAAATTTTAAACATAACTGTTATTTTCAAATTGGAGGAGTATATTAGCTAGACGGGATTCCTTTTTTAATAGAAGGGTCGAAACTGTAACGATCCCATTATTTACAAAATATCCTGTCATGTTAAAATTGAATTACACAGATTTTTAATTCGAAGGGGTCTCCTTTCGGATCTCTTTCAACCTTTTTGGCACTTTGCAACGAACTTGGTACTAACTGGGTCAAGTAATTGGAATAAAGCAGGGAATAAAGTGACGTATAAATAACATTGCTTTTCAGCAGACATCCTTATTCTTAGAGGTCAAAGTCTACTAATAAGCCAAAAAAGTTCAATTTCTCAGGATGGTCATAATACCCATAATATACGCAACACGTATGAGATGCCATGAAGTTCTAACGTCTTCTAAGCAGTAAATCTACAAAATCTCTATGATCAACTGCAATTTTACTGCCTACTGGACACACTAAAAACGATTAAACAACGTGGCACTCTGCCTTTTTTTAATCTACTGAGGAAATACAGTCCATATCCTGGTAAATTGAACAGGGTATAATTATGAACACTTTTTTCTTGAAATAAGTGGATGTGAATTTCAGGAATGGTGAAAGATTGACATAGAGCAATAAAAATTGCAATTGCATGCAAGTTGTAAAATTGCGAAAGGCATGCGCAGTTCAAAGCCAGCTGATTAATTGCTGCAAGAGATTTGCATGTAATTGTTATAGCACCGGTACTATTTTTCTTGCAGCCGTCGCTGCACCAGGTTTTTGATTGCTAATATGCTGTAATTGAGCAGGAATTTTGATTGAATTTAATGACTTTAACACATTATTGTTTACCCCCTGATGTCTACAATAACCAAAGCTTTTAGCACAACTTAGGCCATGTCTACCATATTCATCAACCAGTCCACATTTACGTTTTTCACACAGTTTCACGGGCAGCCTTAATCTCCTGAAGGTGTTATTTCGAAATATCGGTTCAAGATATCATTTGCATGACGACGATCGTCAATAACAGCTTAGTACTTTTGGAAGCTGATCTAGAAAACAAAGTTTTTCGCTTTTTCATGGAGTAGTACTTGCGCGCGATACACAGGAGATTGAAGGTTAGGATAAAATATTAGTGAGGTTAGGTTAGAGTGTTAGTTAGGTTAGGTCAGAAAACTTGTATCAGGTTTGAAGGTTAGGATAAAATAGTTTTTTTAATTTTATCCTAACCTTCAATCTCCTCGCACATTATATTCTCCTGATACAAGATTTCTGATCCAACCTAACTAGCACTTAACCTAACCTCACTAATATTTTATCCTAACCTTCAATCTCCTCGCACATTATATTCTCCTGATACAAGATTTCCTACCTAACCTAACTATCATTTTAACCTAACCTCACTAAAACTTTAACCTAACTTTCAATCACTCCTCGTACATTATCATTCTCCCGATACAAGATTTTTCACCAAACCTAACTACCACTTTAACCTAACCTAAACTAAAACCTAACCTTCAATCACCTCCTCGGACATTATATTCTCCTGATACAAGTTTTGTAAAAGTTTAGGACGAAGCAAGGCGTTGAAATATTTCCGTGAGAGCTGGGTTTACATCGGATCGTGAGCACAGTGCCGTTTAAAAAGGTGTTGGACGTACACGGTACGGCCTCGGTGAACCATTTATGGAGCCCCTCATTGACCACTATACTTTGAAATTACTTCGGCGGTATTAAACAGGCCCAAGCTACAGAATGCTCAGGAGAAGAGAACAGAGTGTGTGAGGGACGGTCTTCTTTTAGGCGCTTTCTAAAGCCTTTCTGGCCACGCCTTAATGTCTAATGTTTAACGGGACATTTATGATTTACGTAACGCGTCTAAAATCGTTGTTAATTGTCCAATGCTACGTACACGCTATGAGTAACCAAAATAGAATCGAGCCATTCCCCATGTATTACAACACATACATCAGACAAAACTAAGAGATATTAAATGTGCCTCGCCGGTCGACAGGATTACCCACGCCCTGTGGGGTGCCTGTAGACGTGGGCTATAGTTATTGGGGTTCGGAACGATTTAAAATGTTAGCGTTTGGTTCACCAAGGCCCGTATAAACTTGAATAACTCGATCTCCTCTAAACAAGCACACTTCCCTCTTGATTACTCACAGCCCAAATAAACACATATAACGAAATGCATTGAAATAATCGAGAGTGACTAAAAAGCAGAATACACAAATATCAGAACACATGCAAATATGTACACCACGGACACAGCCCTACCGACGACACATTCAGAGCTTAATTGACTAAAGCAAATACCTCACCTGATGTAAAAAGCAAAACAAAAGATCAGCCGTACTTTACACTTAAGCCGGTTTCAAGAAAAGACCATGAACACATTCTCTACGTTCCCCTAACTTCCCCAACTTCCCCAAGCGACGCTGTAACTTGATCTCTTAACACCCCTAAAAACTACCCGAAAACCGCCCATTCCCTGCATTTCACGCATTTCTAGGAAAAAACTGGACTGCAGGTGTTTGAAATGGTAAACACATGTGGTCTTCCGAGAAATTCCATCCGTCTCATCTTCGCTTTCTTTCCCTTTTTTGCAATCCCACCAGATTTCGGTTGGTAGCTTTCGTTACTAACATGTTATATATTATGTTATAGTGCTTTGTATTGACAATCATATTCACAGGATGTTGCTAAGGTTGGGGTATCTCAAAACCGCCTGTAAAATTAAATAACTTATTCAACTGACAAAGAGGATTTCTTATAATGCTCATCAAAGAAGAGGGATTACAATCCATCGCGAAAATGCTCCCACGCATGCAGTATACATTGTACCGTGTATCAAATACAAGTAGGTACGTAGCTAGCACTGGGCGACTATAGGTTTGAAGAATCGATAATCGATTATTAAAAATAATTAAAATAATTAAAAATAATCGAGTATTAAAAATAATCGAATATTAAAAATAATCGATTAAAAATAATCGATTATTCTGATTCATTCAGTAATCAAATGATCGATTAATCCAATAACCGATTAATCAAATAATCGATTAATCAAAAATCGATTACCCAAGTAATCGATTAATCAATTTATTTAAAAGATTAGTCAAACCCGATTATCCATTACCGTTTGATTAAAATCGATTTTTTTTCCCAACGTTATTTTTTACTGTTACCTCTTACAGCTTACCGTAACGGAACTCTGAATCGGTCTTTATAGACCGGGACCGGGGGGCTTAGGTCCAAAACTGAAATCAAAGTGTTACTTTTAAGTAAAACTATGAAAATTAGCACATATTCTCTTTGACTTTGCTATTTCCTGGCCCATTTTTTACCCTACAACGCTCCATGGTTGTGAAAGCCCGATTACAATATTTTTGATCGACTACTGAGGCCGAAGCAAGCCTATATGAGTATTGGTTGCCTACCTATTCAGGTGCTAACTAGGCGATTTCTACATTTGTTTGATTTTTCAGTGTTTTAGCTCCAAACTTGCATAATTAGGTACAAACAGTATCAGTGGTATAATCTGAGACCTTTCTGTGCGGGTTGCTGACCCCAAAAACAAAAACGCGTATCGGAAAACCGATCTGCTAATATTTCTGGCCATCGAATTTTGCCTTAATTTTCCTCTTAAAGAAACAGTAGAAGTTTGGAACTACTGTAAGGGTATTTAGATCATTGGGACAGCAAACTAATTGAGCCAAAAACAATAATAATATTTTAAAATGTTATAAAAATAATCCAAATTTATTTGAAACAGGTTTAACATTTTTCGTTAGCGAGAAATTGTAAGCCAATTAGTAGTAGTATCCGTAACCCATTCCAAAATACGGCATCCTCAATCCATAATCGTATCCCCAATATTGGGGTTTTGGTCTTGGCATCGGGTTGGGATTTGGCGAGGGATTAGCAAAAGCCAAGGCGAAGAGCGCAAATACAACGGTAATCTAAAATAAACATTATCGGGCTTACTCTTTGAGTAATTGTAGATTCTTACCAAGAAGACGGCTTGCATTTTGAGATTCGTTCTTGTAGCAGGCTATAGAAGAAGCACATGATGGAAGGCGTTAAGTTTACTTTATATACAGCCAAGACGGTGATTAATTGTTCATTACCAACTATCTACTTCTGATAGAACCAATTCCATTTTAATTAAAAGGCGATTAAAAATCGATCATTTAAACGCCACAACTATTTTGCCGATCGAGTTATGGAAAACGGCACAATTATTATTGGCCTAGTCTTGCATTATTTTAAAAATATTGGTGGGCATATTCGTTTGCTATTATTAACAGAAGCGACCATTAGAAAATGAAACATGTTTAAGTTTCCACTGATTGACTGATTAGTGTATCGCAAACATCTCGTTTCGTTTATAAATACAGATATTAATTGCAGAATATGCATTACTCCATATTTTAATGATATATACATGAAAGTGTGCTCGCTCTGTACCTATAATTTTTTTATTTGAGCAAAATAGCAATATCGATATCGATAGAATTCCCCAATAGAAAAATTAACTCCATTAAAGAAGAACACCCAAGTATTACACGTGATTGATCCATTTTGTGGTCGGCTAAATTACAAATAATACGTGGTGCTGGTTTACTTCCTCAATCTAGAAAGAGTATTAATTTTTTTACATTTGCATTACCCGCTTCACTTTGGCCAAGGGCACCATAAAAATTCGGAAAGTTAAAAGGGTTGCAACTTTTATTTGTAAGCAATTTAACTTTTTAAACCTTTCGAAGGATTCCGGAATGCAAACCCTTTTTTATAGCAAGCAACCTGTTATAATGTTAAGTAAGGCAATTTATTTCGGTCTCCTCTACCAATACCGTTATAAAAGAAACTCTGCAATTTTATACAGATACTGTATAGGTACCCTCATCTAACCGCAACCTTTTTCAACCCTTGCATTTTATAACCCAAATATCTTTTTACACGTGCAATTTACTGGCGTTTTAAGAATCGCAACTCTTTCCCGATTTTTACCCTTTCAATGGCAAAAAGAAAGTGTATTGGTGTTATAAAAAAATCCGACAGGACGGGGATTATAAACATTTTCCTTTTAAAGGTTTCAAATGTCAATACAAAAAATGTCCTTATTCTCTCATATGTACGACTTACGTATACCAGCAAAGTGGTCTCAATTTACTTTCTGTAAGTGCGTACAGCGGTATATCTATATAAGTAAAAATAAGTATAAAGTTTCGCTGCTAAAACTAAAATTACAGTACGTATGGAAATTGATGTATGAAATCGATACGACACTAGCATGTCACATTAGTCATTAATGTGTAATTAGGCTTCTCTTTGTTCAGCAATTGTCGCAAATCGACGGTAATGTCCTATTTTTATAGGACAAAGACATCACTAGTAAATAGCGCAAATGTATTTACATACAAAATCATTCTAGCGCTTTTTTTGTTACAATAGAGTTTAATTTTTACAATGTTTTCAACATGTGTTTCATCTCATTTGCTGGATATCTTTTAAAACTTTGTGGATTACTTGGGAGATGATTTCTTTTCTAATTTCGCGCGTTCTTCAGCTGCAATCGTACTGATAACTTCAACACATGTGACGTGAATCGTGATGTTAATTGGACTCCCATAGATAATACGAGGGCTATCCAGAAAGTAGCAGGCGTTTTGAAATAAAAAAGTATAAGAAACAACTTTTAGTATTAGGGTACCACTACTCCAATCTATTTCCAAGTCCTGCAACTGTGGGTCGGTCTTTCCCAGCTCATATCTGGTAAAAAATATCAAAAAACTTTTGTAAAAATGTCAACCATAAATGGTTGCGCATCTACATAAATTATTTTTGAATGTACAAGGTGTCCCATTTTTACGGTGTTAATAGACAACTGATTTTTTTAAAATCAATGTTACCAAATAATTATTAATTTTTTTCCGAATTTTCAAAAGGGCTATTGGTTTCCTCAGTATTTAAAAAAAACTGCATTTGTTTACAAATTCAGTTGAGAATAGTACCTTGATATAAACCATCAGCTGTTTGGATTTAATGGCATTTGTAAATAAGAAAACTGAAATTAAAATTGTGTTGATGGCTATTTACCAACTCATTTATTAAAGAATAAAGCCATTTTCATATCTTCAACGAGTGCATTTTGGCGCATGTGTTTTACTCGTATCCTAAGAAATGAAATAAGGCACTTAGAATGCAGCACATTGTTACGTCATGTGGAAACCGCGCATGATAATATTTTCCTGCTTAGCCTTTTTTGGGGTAAACTGTCTCCACAATACCTCTGTGATTAGTATACATGTAATTATGTAAAAATGTTAATAGTAGTATATTATAAAAGAAATTTTTTGTATAATGCTTATTGGCTAATTAAATATAATGGGGAATAAATTTGCATAAAAATGTAATTGTTTTTTATGAATATGCAAATGAATAGCCCTAAAGATTATATTGTGTAATGATTTTTTATTTACACAAACTGCAGCACACAAATATTTATGAATCATAAGAAAGTGTATCTTTGAAATTCCGAAGTGAATCACGGAGGATTGGTATGTAATAAGTTAGAATTTAAGCAAATATGGAAAACACATTAAAATTAACAACACTAATATTTAATACGGAGTGGCGTGTTGATAAAATATTCTAACGGATTTTTGGAATTTCATCCTCTTACGTATGCATTTTAAGACAATTACAAAGATTGGGCTTCTTGGTGCAACTTCTCCTACTAAAAGGAGCAAAACACGTTGCATCCAGTAGGACTGCGAGCATTATCATGTATGTACAATATTTTTTTCGGCATTTTGCCTTTAATTGTTTACTGGAGTTTGGATGGACCCTAAAGCTACGGTGGATGATCTCCACCCGCCATGACGCTCCAAGATCAGTTTCGAAGTCGGCGAGAAGCGATGCCGAAGTCCTTCTGAAACAGTCTCCTATACAACAACGCTTTTGCTAGATTTAAAAATGATTTGAGGCATCTGGCTGAAAGTGTTTTTCCAACCGGGTGGACTGTGTACGGGTTGTTCACATAATGCACATAAAAAACGTGCATGATTTGGGTCGACTCTTTCTTAATTTAATTTATTTTTGGAATTTTTAGAGTGAACGTTTTGTCAACCTTATTTTTACCACCCGCACGTTAGTCCCTAATGGTGGGTTTACACAAAATCATTATTTCAGTAAGGTGACGATGGTTTTCTTGGTTAGCAACGCGCAATAAACCTTTGTTTCTATTAGCTATTTCTTAATGATTTTTGATAGTGAACTAATGATAATGATTGTATAAACTCACCATAAGGAAAGTGTTGCATTGGGGTAAAAAATGACCCCCCCCCCCACTTTTTATACGGAAATACACGTTTTGACGCACCAGGAATCCGACTCAAACAAAGTCTAGATTATGTCGATCGGTCTGCCGGTCTGTCTGTCTATACCCTCATCCGGCTAAACGGCTGAACCGATTGGAACCAAATTGGTACCCATATTCTGAGACATAAAAGGAAGAACTGTATGACAGTGTAAGAATCAGAATGCGCATTTGTCCCTTTCTTAATACGCTTTAAAAGTCTGCCAGAATCTTTCAAAATCTACAAAATCCCTTCAATGATACCTAAGAACCTTCAGAGGCCGACTATTTATTAGCCTTAGAGACAGAAAGAAAAAGAGGGTTTACAAAAACAACCAACGAACTTTTAGAATCTTTAATTGACATTTAGTCTTTTAAGTGTATTTAAAATGCTTAGCGTTTCAGAGTGTTTGGAAACTGAACTTTATGGGTCCTTTATGACCATTAAGAGTCCTTTAAGGATATCTATGAAATGTTAGTAGCCTGAAATCGCCTTCTTCAAAGCTGTGTAAATGGTTAATGAGGCTTTTAGTGTTTAATAGCCTTAAAAGGTCGTTAGTATCTGTCCCTTTAAAAGGTTTCCTGAGTCTTCAGCGATGAGAGCAGTTAATTAATAACACTCTTTATGAACTTTTAAGAGCCTTCTAAAGTTTTCGATAACATTTGAGAGCTGTAGTAAGTAATACCTAGTGTAAGAGCTGGCTGTGAAAATAAATAAAAGTGACAAAAAGGTTTTCGCCTTAAGGCGAGTAACTTTAGCGGATTTTCCATGAATTGGTCAGTACTTCTCGAAAGGTTTTGTAAAGGGCCATCAGGGGCGGTTTTTAGGGGGGGGGCGACAGGGGCGATCGCCCCCCCCCCTAAACATACTGCTCAATTGTTTTTTTATTTCATTAGGTTTACATAATAATCGAGTTAAATAGACCTAACCACAAACCACCTGACGGAAAAGTAAAATTGAATACAAAATAATGCCGGCGGGGGCGGAATCGTGTATTGACTGCACTCAGCACTGATTACCACCGCACTGCTAACTTCAATAAATGCATATTAATAACACGTCAGCTCATCTGCTGTAATGTAAAACAACCCTAATCAGCGGTTCGACGATGATCCGGATGATCGCATTCGAACTTTAGATTCTCTCTTTGTCTGTATTATTATTTTAGGTTTTTTTATTTGCGCCCCCCCCCCTCCCCTGAGTAGATGTATAAAACCGCCCCTGAGGACCATTTACGTGTACAAAGGAAAATAAGTTATGGCTTAAATATTCTTATAAATAAGAAACTCAGCTTTGCGCATACGCAGACCTGTTATAACATGTGATGTGTTTGTCTTTACTAGAAGAATCTTTGGTTAAAGTTTCAAAAAATATCTATAGAAAATGAAGTTGACATTCAACCATCAATACTCCATACCTAAACTGACAGAGCGTTTATACTATACGATAAAAACAAGCTTATTAACCACAACTGTACGCCGCTCTTGTTTATACGGGCTGATAATAAGATTCTAGATTAAACGGCAACCGGTAAAAAGTTTAACGACGATTAATTAATGCTTGTGCTAGCTGTTAAAACCCTAAATATGTAAAGGGTAAATTGACATTTCCATATTGCCTAAATTATGAGAATCCTGAATCCCAGTATGTTCCTGATTCAAATCATCAATTATCTTTCAAAACCAGGCGATACAAAAGGTCCAATTGTATT